CAACCTTTAATTATAGTAATCGTAATAGTAATAGGGTTGACAGCATAATATTATTATAAAATAATATTTTATCACCATAGAAAATCATCGCATATGCACTGATTTTGTTTGAATACCAAAATCCAGTACGGTATGATCATAACGTTATGAATACTTTATACTAGCAAAAACCCATTGGTTTTGGCGGGTTGATAGATAGTAAATTAGTTTTTTTAGCGGAGCAAATATTTTTTAGGGTAATTATCATTCTACTGACCGGTTTACACATTAAATATACTCATGTTTAACATCAAGACACAATAAGACATAAGGTTTGAAAAAAGGCCCAAAAAACCAAATCGGCTGATATGGTACATTTGTACAACAAAATTGCACAACACTAACTATAATAATTTTTGCAAGGGATAATAATAATTTTATTGGAAAAAAAAAAGAAAATAATTTTGGGAACAAATTAAAAAAAAAAAAATTTCTAATCAACTGATGATTTAAATTAAAATAAAATAAATAAATACTGTTGTCGATCATTACGTGAGTTATCACACGAAGTTTAATTTAATTGGTCTGATGATCATTATCATTTTGATCATTTTGTATGCAACTTTTTATAAAAAAGGTATCGTGTATCGTTTTTCTTTGACAAAAAAAAAAACACGAAATTCAAAAAGGTTCCACAAATCTTTTTATGGAATAAAATATTGATGGAAAAAATTAAGTTAAAGGTGTATATATAAATTAAATTAGGTTAGATTAGTTGAATATTTTCTTTCATAACAATCCAAGGCAAGTTATCAACATCTTTAGTATTTTTAATTAGATTTCCTGAATATTTATCAATTTCCCATCCCCTAATTTCAACTTTAATATTTTCAGGATTGACATTTTCCCATGAATAAACCATCAGAGTAATTTCATTAAAACCACTATTATTGCTAGAATTATTTTTCTTTACAACTTTTTGTTGGCCTTCGTCATCATTACTATCTTCATGAGTAAAACTTTGCTTATTTTCGATGAAATTATCATCAGAATGATTTAATAATCCATCCATCAAATAAAAATTTTGTTGTGAGCAATCCCCATTACCATAATATCTACCAATCAACACCCCATTCAAGTAAATATAACTTGTAAATCGACCAAACAATACCAATCTTAAAGGTGCTTTAATTATATTTTGGAATTTTTTTTGAATTGGATGAGTAAACTTGAAATTCCACCATCTTACACCATCATCTTTTATAACGCCATAAGTATTAATACTATTTGTTTCAGTTCCATCATATTGTTTATCATTATTATCATTGTTATCATCATTGTCATCGCCATCATTATTACAAAGAGGTTTCCATTCAGCCTCCTCATCATCAACAAATTCATCAGGAATTCCACTCGTTATATATGCATTACCCAATTTCCTAACATCAACTCCACAAATATACCATTGAATCTTTGTAGATTTTAATCCTGATATCGATGATGAGATTACACCCCTTGGATTATATGCATCGTTAAACACTACTGACTGTCTACTTAATCCCCAATTATCTACCAATATTACTATTTCATTATTATTGTTGTTATTATTACTACCTTCATCGTGGTGCTGTTGATTATTGTTTCCTACGAGCGATGATGATGATTTGTGCAAATAAGATGTGATCTCGTAATTTTTTCCACCCAAAGATGTCAATAATTCAGGCCCGGTCTTTGCACCTGGGAAAAAAAACTGTTTAGAATATGTTGTATGGCCTCCAACAAATTTACCGTTAACAAAAATTGTACATCTATGTCTCATGTTTATAGAAAGCTTTACTTTGCTTCTGTTAGAATAACTTGTATTAGGAAATTGTGTACTATACAATATATGTCCTGAAGTATAAAAATTCTTCAAAATGTTTCCATCTGATTTAAAATCTTTAATAGGTCGCCACTGAAATTCCTTGAAATTTGTTAATCGTGTGCCCCAATTGAAAAGTTGTGGCCTCAAATCCAATTTTACGGTGATTTTTGCTCCTGCTTTTAATTGTTTTTTAAAAATAAACGGTAGTGGAAAAATTTTATTTTGACCAGTTACAATATTTTCAGATGGAATTCTTGAAAATGATAAAATTGTGATTTCATCATCTTCTTCCACATACTCTGTCTCAATTGTCAAATTTTCTTTGTCGTAATAAACATACTGAGTTCCCCAACTAACAATTAAAGGTGAATGTGATTGATCATGCTGATTACTGTTATTATTATTACCATCATCATCATCATAATTAGCATCATTGTTTGCTTGTGCCAAATAAGAACGATCATCAAAAAAAGCATGTAATGTGATAAGTGACTTCTCATCCAATATCAATAAATATAGTTTTTTTGTTTCATCATCAGGTTTCTTAATTGTCACATAGCCGACTTTTCCATCAAAAGAAAGGACATTAATTGAGTTTCCTTCAAGTTTTTTAATTGTTGGTTCGATGTTTCCTCCATCAATTACTATCTCACCATCAAAGGCCAATTCACCAACTTCGCAACTAGGAAGAATCCAAACTTCGCCGCGGTCTTGATAACTTTGATTTTGTGGAATATTAATCCTTAAATAAATTGGCAGGGTTGAGAATATCAGTTTTACACCTATTCTGGTTAAATAATTTCCCAATGCAATAAATGAAGTTTTATATTGACAATAACATTGCATGATGATTTTTATTTCTTTCTGTTGCTCTTCTTCTTGTTGCTGTGCTGATTTTTTCAAATAATTTATGGTTAATTGAAATTTTGTTTGACAAGATTTATTAAAATTTCGGACAAATGTGAATAACGCTCCGTCACCACCATTGTTGTTTTCTGATCTTCGTTGAAGATTAATGATGTTTTTATTTGATGTAGAAACATTAGGTTTTGTAACTAGCACAGTCCTTGAGAACAGATCAGAAAAGCTCCGCACAAATAATATTGTTAAACGCAAATTGTGTAAACGTGATGACATGTAACCATATTCACGAATACATGCAGAATAATCATATGAGGTGCACCCGTCACTAATTCATATACGAGGGAGGAGAAAAAATTATCACCATTAACAAAAAAAAATATTATTTGATAAAAATCATAATAATTTTTAATAATGAATTTACACATCTCCTAAAGTTCCCCAATTAGTTCCACCATATGTCATATAAATACTAGCAATAGTAGATCCTTGCGCAAGGACGGATTCATATACAAGTCTTGTAAAAAAATCACCATAAAAATTATAGACATCATCAAATGTATGTTTTAATTTATAACTTGTAAACCAACCACCTTGAAGTTCTGGAATGAATATTGGTGACTTTAAATTATAACGGTGATGATGGTGGTGGTAGTTGATAATAAATTTTAGTTCATATTAATAATAATAATAATAATAATTATTATTATTATATGATAGAATAATACCTTACTAGCATCATAGCCAAAGCCTCGAATTGTTTTTTCAAGTTTATCAATTGAATTCATAAAATCCTTAGGATCCCATTGTTTCCATTTACTTGGATCCTGTTCATCATAAAATGTCCAAGGTACAGGCGCGCTTGGTGGCACAAATACTATAATAATAATCAATCAATCGATCGATCGTTCAAATACTTAATTAATTATTCATTTTTTTTTTTATAAAAACCCTCCAAAAGAATACTATGATAATTAAATACCAATATATTTATCAAAACCATAAAGATCTAAACCAAAAGTCCTTCGATTAAAAAAATGAGTTGAAGGCTTAGCATCAAGTTCAGGTTTGGCAATAAAAGAACCAGATTCATCACCATCATTTGTAAACAATGGTACACTTATACCACAATTTCTTGCCACTTTACATAAGAACCGAAGTTCGTCATGTAAACCAAATGGAATAATTTTAACCAACTCGAACAACTCATTCTCGACTTGTAAAGCTATAATACAACCATTTGATTTTTCAGTTATTTGGTGTTTTGCCAGTATAGGTAAAATATTTTCAAACCATTCACGCTGATACTCTGAAAAGTTTTCATCATATTGTTTAAATGTGGTAAATTTTACATGACGCAATTTATCAGCTTTCTCCACCAACCAAATTGGAAATCCACCAGCTTGTGTTTCTGCGCAAATATAAGGACCAGGAGCAGCTAAAACATACAAATTCAATTTCTCGCATAGATTTAACAAATATTCGACATCTCTGTTATCGTCAAATTTATAAACTCCTTCGTCAGGACTGTGAAAACCCCAATGGAAATATATACGAATACAATTGAAACCACCAGCACAATATTTTTTCAAAATGCTTTCCCAACGAGACTTATCAGGCAGACGCCAATAATGAAATTCTCCACTGACTATTATAGTTGGACGACCATGAATGTATAAGCAATGTTTATCCCAATTCAATATGTGACCAAATCGACTCTTATCATATGCACATTCGGTGGTTGTGATTTCTAGGGTACCTTTTCTACTTTGAAGGAGCCAAATATAAAACGCTAGTAAGCCAGTCGGAACAACAGCCAACAGTGCCAAGAGTTCTATTAACATGGTTTTAATAATGATGATAGTGATAGTTTATACCATACAATTTAAAAAAATGAATGAAGATCAGTTAAAGCCATACACGTGACTGACTGGCCATTTATGATTAATTTAAAAATTTACATTTTAATGAAAAGTTTAATGTTTGTTAAATAAAAAGAATAAAAAGAATAATTTTTTTAATTTTTTTTAGTGAAGATTTTTTTATAAAACAGCAATAATAATAATAATAATAGAAATAAAATAATAGAGTAATAATAAATACAGAAAATATTAAATATAGTATTTCAAAGATAATTGATAGTTGCTAATAGATAATAATAATAGACGATGATGATAATAATATAATGTATCTCCATCATCTTTAAATCCTGCTTCAAAAAAAAATTTAAAATAAAATGATAATAAATTATGTACATTTATTTTCTAATATATAAAATATTTTCAATTATTATTAAATCATTTTTCTATATATAATATAAATATATAAATGAAGATGTATATTTTGTTTTAATATGCAAAGATAGTAATAATATATAAGTAAATATATAATAAAAAAATTTTTTTCTCACCAATTAAGTGCATCAGGAAAGAAAAAAAAACAAAAAGCTCTACTTTTCCCGATCAAATTTTATTGTCTGTCTAAAACAAATTAAAAAATGTTATATAATCTTTTTTTAGGGAGAGTCCGTGATCATAATATCCAGAGAATTGATTCGACCAAAAATATTTAAAGCCGATGCATTTGAAGGAAGAGTTGATCTTGTTCCTGTATGCCTGATCGGCGAAAGAGAAAATTCTCTATAACCTACCTCAGCCGCCAAGGCGCTTATAGTATTTAAATGAACGAGTGAATTTGTTGATGTGTTGGTTGCAGCGGTAGATGCAGTAGACGTACTAGTAGATGCTGTTGCTGTTGCTGTCGTAGTAGTAGCATTGGATGTTGCAGTTGTAGTAGTTACTATTGCTGTTGATATTGCTCTTGTGATTTCTGTATTTGGATTTAATAATATAGTTGGCGTATCTTCTTCAGCATTAACAGAAGCCAAGTCACGTTGGGTAGCATCGTCCATAATTCGAATACGTCTTTCTTTTCTTTTTTCAACCCAATCACTGTAATGACTACCACTAATTGCTTCAAATTCTTTGAATGATGATTTGACATCTGGTGTCCAAAAAAGAACTTGATTATTGTGTCGTACATAAACCAATCCAGTAAGAACATTATCACTCATCCAATTATGGTCTTTGCTGTACCTAAAAAGTGAAATAAAGATAAACTTTAATTTAATTGATCTATAAATTTATTTAAAAAAATTTTTTAAATAATATTAAAATATACTGACGAAATTGCAGTAGTGTTTTTAATCAAACATTCGTGACAACATCGTACTAAGAATTGCCAATATATTTTAACAGCTTTTCTGGTATAACAATACTGACATTTTGCTAATAAATTTCCAAATCGAACATATTCCTCTTCATACATTCCTTTTGGAGGAGGTAGTTGAAGACCAGGTAGAAATTGAATTCTTGAAATTCTCCAAATATCTTGTGTGATTGGAGATTCTGGCGAACACAAGAAATTATGAAATCTTTTGCAAACACCTGTTAATCTCAAAAGATCAGCTGGTGGCAAATATTCACATATTTTTATAAAAATTTCTGGTGGGATATTTGCAGCTATTGAAATTTGTTGTATTAATTTACATGAATGATCATTAGAAGAAACTATTGTTGAAGTTGAGATTGATGTTTCTATTTCAATGACGCTCATTATGATTTTTTTTTTATTTTATTTTATTGAACTATAACTATTAAAGAAAATAAATAATTAAAAATAATGTAAAACAATTTATAAAGTATTGTTATAAAAAATAAATCATTGATTATTTTTTACATACATGAGCCTTTGATTTATTTATTTTTTTTATTACTTTTCAATGGTCAATAAATTCTAAAAAGTAGAAAAAAAAATAAAGATAGGGTTAAGCCTAGAAATTTTTTATATTAAAAGGTGGAACAATGATCCATAAACAGTTCATGAATTACACAATTATTATTTTTCCTTATTTGACAGTCGTAAATACGCATAATATATTATGTAGCACAAATTGTGTTATAGTCACGTGACTACAATATATTGAATACTACTTACGTATATTAATATTATAATAGTAATAGTGTAATATTACACACATTTAATTGGATATTCACGCACGCGTAGATTTGCATTTTCTCGTGATTTTTCTACCTAAAAATGTTTACTGGTAAAGCAGTACTTTTAGCAAATCCAAATTTTGCAAAGCTTTATAAAAAATTAACCACACAATATTTGACATCTAATGGAGCAACGAAGGAAGTTGCAAAAAAGTTTAATGATGTACAATTTATTAAACATAATATCATTTTAACCATTCTTTTATTAAGTTAATAACACACATAAACATTCCTCTAAATTTTTCTATTGTAGGAAAGCTTTCTCAGTGAAAAATCGGAGTATTTAGAAGCATTGATTATATATAATGGAATAAAACAAATGACTTTGGGTAAAATTCCATTAATAAATAATAAAATAAAATTAGATGATTATGAAATGGTATTAAATAATAATTATTATAATTGGTATTATTAGTGTTATTATTGATCTATTTCATAATTTATTAACAATCATCAGATAATTAAGACACTTGAAAAGGTTTTATCATTTGCAGAATCAAGACAATATTTAAATTTTCAACCAAATGATCCTGAATTAAAAAAATTTATAAACAAAAATAAGAATAATATTAGAAGTGAAGGAGGAAGGAAAGAAGATATAGTAACAATTTTTGGATTAAAAGATGATGATTTATATAAATTGGTTAAAGGTGACCTAATGGAATTAGAAGTATGCAATTAATAATTATAAATTTGAAAAATAACAATAATATGATGATAACAATGATGATAATTCTATTATTGATTGATGAAATTCTTATTTGTGTGTACACTAAAAAGAATTCAAAAATTTATATAATCAACGCAATTGAAAATGGTTTAATAAAACAATATGAAGATATAGTAAAGTTTTATTATGCAGATGAAGGTAATTATTATTATAAGATTTTTTGAATTTGTAATTTATTATTTAATTATTAATTATCTTTAAAAAAAAAACAGAAATAAATTCAAAGTCAATAATTCCAAATGCAAAACAATTGGAAAAATTATTGAGTCAACAAATTGATGATTTAAAGTCTTCAAAGATAAATTTAACCAGAAATAAAACTTTATTGAATGAAAACTTGATGGAATATTTTAAAGTAATATGAATGATTACTATCACTACTATTAACATTAACATTAATATTTTTAATAATATTTTTTTTGCCAGATTCTAAAGAATAATTTAGCTAATCTTTGGATTTTAAATGAAGAATTCAAATGTCATCATGAAATGAAAAAAAACACTATTTTCATTAATTATTTTTCTGGTTTAATAGAATCAATTGAATTAAAAGCAAGGTTAGAAATATTGTTTATTTTTTTTGTAAATATTTTATTCATCATATTAAAAAAAATTCTAATTATAATATGTGAATATACATATATATAGAGTTCACTTATATGAAACTTTAAGAGAGGTTTATGACGATGACACTGTTAAAATGCTTAGAACAATAAGGTATTTAAGAGAAATTTTTTATAAAAAGGGTCATAATAAATGATAAATTATTGTTAAAACACTTTTGAAATTTTTTTTAAAGGAATAATTTATTGAATGAGGAACAAAATAAAATTCAAGAGTTGACCAATTTGAATAATGAACTTTTAAAATATCAAAATATCAAAGATTTTGATGATATTATAGATAATTATATTGAGATAAATAAGGAAATCAAGAAAATAGATGATGATATCAAGAGATTAAAACAATAATTAATTAACGCAAACAAAAAATAAACCATTTTCCGTGTCACATGATCTCCTTTCAAAACCCGTAAGTCATGCGACTTTCGTCCTAAAGTTTCTCTTCATTCTTTGGTTTGTTGGTAGTCAAATCCGTGTTCTATTCAGAGCTTTTGTTTTGATTCATAAAAATTCCAATGAATACCTTTTCAATCTAAATTATTCTGGTGTTCCTTTCTTAACTCAGTTAAATTTAATTCTTGTTCGAGATTATGTCCTTTTTTCTTTAAATAATTAATAAAGTCATAATCAGTAGGAACTAAACCCTTGTTAATTCAAGCTTGAACTTCTTCATGAATATCTTGCCTTTTTTTTCGTCAATCTATCTTTTCTCATAATTTTTGTAATTCAGGAGTGAAGTCAGGATGAATATCTGCTCAATTAACCATTATTTATTTTCCTTTCTTAAGAAATAAACCACTATACCAATTAATCCTACTACTCCAATTCCTCCTAAAATCCGGGTGCCGATTGTCTCTTTTTACGTCTAGCCGTGCCTGGTTTTTTCGATTTTTGGCGCGATCAACGTTTTCACCATATTTAATGTTTTGAATTGAATTGTAAAACAATGCGATGCAAACAATTGCAACCAATGATCTTTGTTTTTCAAACCTAATTTTTGGGAGAAATTTTTTTGCTTTCGCTGGGTGGTAATTTCAAAAAAAATTTTTTTTTATTTTTCTGAAAAAATTGATCACGTGATTTTTTTTTTCGGCCACAATTTTTTTTAACTATTATTATCATTTGTCCTGGTTTTTTTTAATCATGCCATTGATTTGTTTACTTTTAAGAAAAGCATTATTTGTTATTTGTTTATTACTAGAAATGATTTGAACATGCCTATACATTCATTTTGCAAAGCTGGATTGCGAGCTTCATAGACCTTGACTTTAACACTTACTTTGATCAAACCCGCCTCTATAATTATTGAATAATTGATACATTCTTTTTGCAAACTTCATAGATCTTGTCTAACACTTACCTTGATCAAACCTGCCTATATAATTATTGAATAATTGATAAAACGTCCATTTTGCAAACTTGATTTGCAAGCTTCATAGACCTTAACTTTAACACTTACTTCAATCAACCTGTCTATATGATTATTGAATAATTGATAAAGAAAGCATTCATTAAATATATTTTACAAACAGCTAAAGTTGGTGTCTGTAACCGTTTTCGCATTTTCTGCAACTGCGTGTTTTAAAGCTCGAGTTGCAACCTTTTCTGCAACCTCCGCAACTGTCTGCAACCTCTGCAATTATAATTATGATGCATAACTTGTTACAAGGAACAATTTTTTAGCTTAGAAACTATGCCCATTTAATAAAATTTTGATAAATTTCTGTTAAAGTTTTTTAAAAAAGGATAATTACAAAGATCATGTTTGAGTTAACATTTCTATATGCAATTTTACTTAAAATTTTCCATCATTTTTCAATTTTCTCAAAATTGTGACTTTGACATTGACCCCTTTTCTATTGTCCATGATCCATATATTTGAAATATAACGTTGTTTGATCAATTCTTAAGTGGATGGGTGGGGCCTGGTAATGTTGTGTTTCTAAAAGTAGGAATATGAAAGTACATGCTTTCTTGGTTAGTAGTGTCAATTTAAAATGAAATATTTTTTAGTTTTCAAGAAGAAATTTGCTAACAACAATTTATTTTTTTTATATATATTTGAAACAAATTATTGATCTGTTCAATTAACAATAATATGCTTTGATTCTTTACATTCTCACTATATGATCCATATATTTGAAATATAACGTTGTTTGATCAATTCTTAAGTGGATGGGTGGGGCCTGGTAATGTTGTGTTTCTAAAAGTAGGAATATGAAAGTACATGCTTTCTTGGTTAGTAGTGTCAATTTAAAATGAAATATTTTTTAGTTTTCAAGAAGAAATTTGCTAACAACAATTTATTTTTTTTTATATAATTTGAAATGATAACATTGTTTGATCAATTTCTTAAGTGGATGGGTGGGGCCTGGTAATGTTGTGTTTCTAAAAGTAGGAATATGAAAGTTCATGCTTTCTAGATTAGTAGTGTCAATTTAAAATGAAATATTTTTTAGTTTTCAAGAAGAAATTTGCTAACAACAATTTATTTTTTTTATATATATTTGAAACAAATTATTGATCTGTTCAATTAACAATAATATGCTTTGATTCTTTACATTCTCACTATATATGTTCATTCAATATCTTGTTAAATAATAAAAGGAATTAGTGCTTTTCTATTTTTTGGATAATCTTTAAAATCTTTACGATAACTTTTATGTTTTTTAATAGCCCAAAGATACATCTGAATGGATCCAACAATAGTAAAAAGATATGCTGCAAGTGATTTTGTTAAAATACATATACTAATCCATGCTAAAATTTCAAAAGAATAGTTGGGACATGAGACAAGATTAAATCCATAACCATAAGGAATTTTACGATCACGAGTACCAGGTGGTCGTAGATTACGTAAAGCCATATGAGTATTGAAATTTGAAATTTCTGCAAACTTATTTTTAAATTCCATCAAGATAATAATAATTATTATTATTGTCATTATTAGTTATATTATAAATGATTATAAATGGCCATGAAATTTTTTTCAAGAAATAAAAAATATAATTTTTATTTACCAGATAAAGTAAAATACAAGACCAAGTCAAAATTT